TAGCTTCTGAACCTTTATCTGGATCGTAAAGAAGTTTAACAATTTCTCCTCCATGTGGTTGATATTTGTTATCAATAACTCGAACATTCTCACCCCAATAGGATTTTAAGAAAGCTAAAGTTGAATCATTTGCAAACGCATCCATGGTAACAACATGAGTAGCTACATTTAACAAATCACGCATAGCATTGGAAGATTCTCAAGCATGAACTCTGCTAGCCATTTGACGCATAGTAGCATTGGCTTCATCTAAAATTGCTATGCAGGAACAACTTCCTTGAAAATCAAGACGAAGAATACTTTCAACTTGTACAATAATAAGATCCCACTCACGTGTCTTTAGGTTGGCCACAATATTCTGATATTGCCCTACTTTGAAATGGAATTTTTCTAATTCTTTAAGTTTAGCTTCGGATTCATTACTAAGGGTTTTATGATATGAAACCCAGATAGTACAAGGTAAATTGGCACCACTTTGAGCTAAAGATGCCAAAATCTTTCTTAATGTTTTCGTTTTCCCAGTACCTACAGTAGAACAAATAAGAGTGGTGCTAGGCTCTTTACTTAAAAAGTCTGGAAAAACATCTAAGGCATCCTCCATTTCTTTTACATTAATACTTTCTCCAGCTAATTCAGGAAATTGATGTGGGGTTGATACAGCCTTAGGTAATCTTTCAATTAATCTCCACTTAGGTTTCACTTTCGATTCTACTTTATCTGATACCTTATCAAAACTAAGGCCCTTGTGATCTGGCTTGTATTGTTTTTGATGGTAACACTTAAGTACAAAATGTCCATTTTTTCAAAGAAATCCATATAACTGATTTCTTTTCATGTTTAATATCACATATAGGGCATTCTTTAACTGATTGTGCATGAAAGTTGACAAACCCCTTCTCAGTTCTTCCAATTTCGAGCCATCCAAATTTCACAATAACTAGATTAGCTCCTTTAACCATAGCATCTTCATCATCAATAGGTTTGAATTCCTCTTCTGTTGGTTTTTCTTCTGAAAAAGTTTGTGGCCAGATCACAGAATAATCGGATTTTGGTTGAACTAAATAGTCTTCTAGATTTTTGAATCCATTCTTAACTGATGAAATGGCTGGTCTTTTAACTCTATTCTCTTTTGCTGATCCAAGTAATCAAAAATTAAAATGTGATTTGGGAAGGCCAACATCAATGAATTTAGAATATGGATCTCCTACTAATTCCATAACTTTTTTCGTAAAGCCTTTAAGTTCCCTATAGTCAATAAATCGGGCATGAGAATAAACAATGTGCCAACTGCATTTATTAGCATTTGATGAACTTGCTAATGCAAAAGATTGCAAGAAAGGCATACATTCTGGTATAAGACTTAATGCATCTATATAAGCAATCAATATTTTAGACATTAAATCTTCACAAGAAATTTTTTCACTATCTAAGGAAGGTAGTTCAGAATTGGTGGGATCAGGTTTCTGTCTGGCATCAATATCAAGTATTGGGCGAAGAGGTTGATTTCCGTCAATACACTCATGGGAATCAAGTATTTTATAAACTTCAGAAGGATGTTCAACTAATGTAAAGCCTTTTTCTCCTATCCGGATAATATATTGAAAATAAATCTCTTCAGGATGGTATGCTTCTAAAAGTGTGGTATCATTTTTATTATCAGATGAAAGCAAATATTTATAATACATATGATTTCTATGGCCAGGTTTATAGTTAAGATCTGTTAAACCTGTAAAAAGCTTTTTTGTCTCATTATATTCAATGGATTTTTGATTTAGGCACTGTTGTTGTAACGATTCACGCAAATGTTTTTTTGCTTCACTAGACAAACTCATTTTATTATTTGTATATATGCGTTGTTTGATCTGACAAAAAGTATATGTAGTAATATATGTATTATTATTTTGAAACTATAATAATAATTGATAGATAAATCTTTAAAATAAAATTAATTATTCCGAAGTGGAATTTTTGATCTCAGGTTTGCTATCACTTTTGTCAAGAAAAAATATAAATATGATTGAAGTAATTATTATATATAATCACGATGGTATTATACCATTGCTCATATATTCACAGAACTGGAAAAATCTGTGGTCGAGGCAGTAAATCAGAAAGATGTTATATTCATCGTAATTCTCCAATGCCTACTCATTGTAGAGATTGTGGTGAGCCAAATAGGTCTAAATATAATGCATGCAATAAACATGTAGGCAAATATAAAAGTAAAGAGAATTATCACAGAAAAAAGCAGGATGAATTGCATACAAAAATTGCTATGTTTGAGAATCATATACCTGACTTACCCAATTCTAGGCATGAACTATAATCATATGCTTGGCATATACCGATTGTTTTTTCCAGGACCTCTTTGAGTAATGCTATATCTTCTTTGATCCCATTGATATTTTTAGTGATTTTATTACGTAGGCTTGAAGAGCCATTGCTCTGCAATAAAGCTATGGATTCCAAGGCTTTTGATCGATCTCGTGTTTTATCCGCATCCATTTCTCGATAAAATTACAATAACCACGACCCATTCAATTTTGGTATAGCAATACTAATCCACGGATAATTAATTCCAGTTTGAAAAAAGAATCTTCGTAGTGTATACAACCTAAAGAATTGTTCATAAACTACTTAACCTATTATAACATTCAATCATGTCAGCCATCACGACTAAAATTGTTGAAAAATACAATCTCAGCCCCAAGATGAGTGTGTCTGATCTCAGTAAATATACCTCAGAATTTCTTGAAAACCTTACCGATGATAGAAAGCAGAGTCAATCTCGATGACATCTTCAGGATGGTTTTAAATTTAGCAGTGAACAGGTAGGTGTATTGATACCTAATCAGAGAAGTGGGAAAAATAAAACTATAAATTTGGTTGAAGGTAATTGTAGAATAGCTATAACCAAGCCCCCAAAAAGTTTGGAAGAAGAGATCGTCAGAGAGAAAGCAAAATGAATCTTGCAAAATAGATATGGGTTTAGTGAAGATCAAGTAAACGCCTTATTCACAACCCAGAAAAATAAACAATGTGAAAGTATTTATGGCAAAACCTTAAATATTGTAATTGCCAATCAACTCTCTAAAGGAATGGAGGAAGAAACTATTGGGGATATGGCGCAATGGATTTTACAGGATAAACTTAGCATTAGAGATGTAAGAGCTGAAGCTTATACCTTAGCCCTATCAGCAAAAAATTCTAATGCTGGCTCATCATGTCTCACTTGTCTTCGTAGAGAATTAAGGAACCTTAATGCATCGCTTGAGATAATTGAGGCTACGAAATTTCCAGATATTACAGAAGATGCCAACAAAATCCAGAGTGTCAATCGGAAGAAGGCTGAAGCTAAACATATTGATTATCCAGATGAATTTACATTAGAATCAGTCAAAGAAAGATTAGATGCGTATGATATTAAAACTTTACCTGATTGTCAGGCTCTTGTTGATGTTATGGTGATGCTTTGTATTCGTCCTGCTGAACTTAAAACTTTATGCATTACAGATACTGGAGTGATGGGTTATGCGAAGAATCGAGGTCAGCCAGATATTCCTAGAAAATTTAGATCTATGGAAAAGAATCAAGAACGAGCCAAAGAACTACTCACTTGGATTCAGAGCACTATATCATCTGGACGAATGGGTGATCCAGGTAAGCCAGGAGTTAAATGGTTCAATAGATTCTTAAAAGATTATGGTTTAATTCCTAAATACTTATGAAAAATGGGTGCAGTTTATGGTGTTGTAGTACATGAACCTGAGAATATGGCCCACGCTTATACAATTGCTGGGGAATGTCTACGCCACAATCCCGACAACTATACTTCTCCTGTGCAAAATTACGTTGTAGTCAATTATCGCCGGCGAGGACAAACGCCTGAAGAAGCAAGACCATTTCATATCTATGATCAAGATTAATTACGCTTCATTACTTTTACTACATCCACAGTAAAATCATCATCATTAGACGATTCAGACCCAGATGAAGATGAGGATGAGGACTCAGGTGCGGTATCATTTAAAATTTTCTTTTTTCTTTTAGCCTTACTTGGGATACGCCGAGAAATATCCGGGTTTGCTATCGAGTTTATAATTTCTTGACGAATCTCAGGTTTCACTATTTCCAGTAATTGACGAAGAGAAATCGAAATTCTTCTATGTGATATCTGTTTAACAATTTTAGATACTAGTTTCGAGGTATTATTGCCAGAGGCAACTGTTTCACAGCTATTTTTAACCATTGGATTTAAATCGATTTATTATTAATACACAGAAAAAATATAATTAAATATATTATCATAATAAAGCATTACAATGAAAATTTTATATTGTGAAATTAACGAAACACCAGTTACAGTTGTATTAGATTCCGGTGCTAATTGTAATATTATAGGTAAGAGTTTAGTAGATGAATTAGGTTTGGAAATCGATTACCCTCACATAGAATCTGAAAAATCACCACATATATTAGGGTTACCAATACTAGGGATGTTCCATGAAATAAATCCCTCTTTTCAATCCAAAGATAATAAATCAAAGCAAGTAAAAGTTACCGATGTTTTTGTTACCAATAAACCCGAACTTGAATCTGTAATGATATTGGGTCAGCCGTGGTTTCAAGAAAATGCAATGAAGCTGGACTTCCCAAATAAAACTCTTACATTGCTCAATGGAACTGATATACAATTAGTTATTGGACCAAGAATATATATCGATCACTTGAATATAATATTAACTGGACCTACTGATATTCAAAAGTTTCGATTCGGGATTTTGAGACAAGAGGAGAGTTCGATAATGGAATATTACACAAAAGTAAAAAAATGTGGTAAATTAGCTGGATATAATGAAGTTCAGCTTAAATATCACTTCCTCCGTGGATTGTCTCATGATAACCAGTTAGAAGCCAGAAGATGTGGAACAGACCTGTCATTAGATGAGCTGATTGCAATTATCTGAACATTAGTTATTTCCGATATATACTAATTAGCAATGCCTAATTTACTTAATCTTCTTCCACCAGAATTAATACCATTCATAACGAAGCATCTTCCAATTCAAGATCTTAAAAATTGCTGTAGTTTAGATGATATATGGAAAGCTGAAGCAATTAGAGAAATTCGCAAAAGATTAATAGTGGACTGTACATTTGTTGATAAAAATACAACTGTTAAAGCGCTAATTGACCCTAAGTCCCAGCATGGTAGTATTAGCAAAACACTTGCCAAAAAAATGGATTTATATATTACAAGAATGTATGGATCAAAATATCCTGCAGTAATAGACCTTGGTATTGGTGCAACAAATGCTGGCAAGAAAGTGATGAGGAGGGGTTGGATTGACAGAGAAAAAGTTTCTGTTACTTTGCCAAATATCTTTGATGATATAGTACCGCCTTCATATTTGGGAATAGATACAGCAAATTTTGTAGTTGTTGACAAGCCTGAATATGATTTGGTTTTAGGACATGTATGGTTAATGCATACAGGATATTGAGTTGACAGGTATAAAAAACCACCACTATATATTAATAGATCTAAAGATATCGAAGAACAAGAATTAAAAAAAAGCCAATATCGCACAAGAAATGATATTTGGGAATTACCTCTTTCATTGCATACATTCTACGAGCTATTATTCCCTAAATTTATTGCAATGGAGTCAGATGGAGAAGCTATAATAACCAAATTTTCCAAACATAAACGCGACTTCGATGGTCTAAATGAATATTACGATTCAGAATACTCTGAAACAGAGTCTGAATCTAGCGATTATTCAGATGATGAATTCTCGGATTCTGATCTACCTCCACTTGTTCCAGATCCATTAAGGGTATCTCGAAGCGTTATCTTTACCAGTGGACCTAATAGAATGGTTTTAACCAATACATTAACTGTAACAGATCTTATTTCTGCAATTAGAGTATCATCAGAATTGACTGATTCAGAACGAATTAATTTATTAAATAGTCTTGCTCGAGCCATTAATCAATGATTATATCAGAGACACGGGCACTGATTGGCACTAGCCGATTTTTTGACAAAAATTTCATGCAATTGTTGAGGAGAGATATTTGGAAATAATTGTAGTCCCTCACCAGTAAACCAAAATTTCTTTACACCATTATTGATGAATTTCTGTATTAACACACTTGGAACATTTTCTAAGGGACCATGAAATTCTTCAAACTTTCGGAGGTACACTCTCACATTTTTATCGGCTTTTTCTGCCATTTCTTGATTAGTATAACCAACAATACCGATTTTTTCCTGAATTGTTGCTATATCGTCTTCTAAGCATAAAAGCAAATCAAATAATCTAATTGGTTTATCTGAAGAGGCTCTATCCCTTTTAAGTTCTGCTTCTAAAATGGGATTGATATCTATACCAAGTTTCTCCTGTATGGGTATTAAATCCCCCACCAATTCTAACAACAATTCATATGAATCAGCAAGTTTTTTCGCTTTCTTGCTCTCCGACACTGTCGTTTGATTTATATTACTGTTAATACCAAGTTTTTTCTGAATAGCTGTTATATCCTTTTTCTTATATAAAAACACCTTGTATAATATTTCACTTGGATCAGTTTTATTATTAGTATTACTCGTCATGATTGTTATAATAAAATAATATATTTCTAAATTACAAGAAAAATAGTCAAGCCTAAAACGAAAAAAGTTAATTGCAATCTTGATCCGGATTTTGATGGACCTATCATTTACATTCTAAAATAATAGTATAAAACTATTTAGTCGCATATAAAAATAATTTTTACATATCAATATCAATAAAGTTTTAAAGTAACGACCACCACGGTCGGATTTATTTATGCGGTAAAAAATAAAATAAGATACAGGATAGATAAAAATAATATAGATAATAATGGAGTTTTAATTTTCATATGGAGGGGATGATACTGTTGAACTATCTTCTTTATCTCCATGTGAATCACGATCCGCATTTAATAATAGTGATAGGTTGACGATTAGGATTCTCTATAAAAAAAAGTTAGATATAGATTCGCCATAAAAAAATAGACAAATAAATCCATACCCGAAATAGCAATAATGTCTCCACAAAATTATAAACAGTATCTCTATCTGTGAATTGTATCGGGATATCCATTGAACGTAATCTAAAAAGCCTATTTATATCATCTTTATCTCGAATAAGGATATTCAGATGAAGTTTTTTTCCAGCAATTTGTATCCCAATAATTCCGAATTCATCTTTTTTTGGTTTACAGCCTTTATGTACCCAATACATACCGTCATTCATCTCTCGTCATAATTTTACCCAATCGTTTTCTTCCTTATCTTTATCACAAAAAATACGGGAGCATTCAGCAAACATTAATTCATAAATTTTTTTCCCACGCTTCACCATAAACATAATGTCAGGACGTTTGCCAGTCTTTCCTCTTCGATCTTTACTTGCTATACTCTGTCGTTCCGCTCTAAATGAATAAAAAATATAAATGTATGATTATCCGGAAAAGATAATAATATTATACTTACGTGCTAACAAAAGCGAAACTTTTTATTGGTAATTTTTTTAATGAAGCTTTCACCATAGGAACTATAATATCTGTAACATATGTTCCTTCATTCTGAGATTTAATAAACTTATTTCCAAATGCTGGATTCCTCCAAACATCACCTCTGTTCAAATAGCAGAAAAAATGTAATCAATATTTTTTTAGAATAAAATCCATATTATACTCACATTATATCGAGAATTCCAGATGCAATTTCTTCGAGAACTTCTTCCGACTCATCCCAATTTCCATGTGAGAGTTCAATAGGTATTTCCTCATATAAGGTATTGCTATAAGTCATCACAAATTCATCACACACATCTCTGATACGATGAGGGGTTAATCTCTCCATACGTTCTACTGGCTCCATAAAATCTTTATATTCATTTTCTGCCTCCACAGATAAGCGCTGTATAATATCCGAATCGTAACTAATTACTTGACTTGCTTTTGGATCTTTCCATGAAAGGTCAGAAGGTTTGATTTTTTTAAGGTATTTGCTTAATTTTTTGGCATATGGAGCTGAACTTTTACCAAGATTCAACTTTAATTTCCGTAAATTCGTTTCAATCTCCTCAATAGACACCTCTTCATCTCGCTTCGCAAAATCAATATCTCTAAGGCTACACACACCTTCGAAAGCATCATCAAACTAGCGTAGAAATAAATAAGTTAGATTTGGTTGCTCTAGAGAAACTTATAATAAAAACATGTGCACACTCTTCAGAATATATTATGTAAAATCACCAACTATGCGTGGCCAGCACATAGCTGGGAGTAGAACCGGGAAGAGAAGCAGAGCAGGTGAACGTTTTTTTGAAGATTTTAATTCTCATTTTTGGGAGAGACCTGGTAAGATCACCTATATAATCTATCACTGTAGTAGTAAATATATAGATACATGGATTTACCTCGTATATGAAATATAGAAACCCCATTCGACATATTGCATAATACAAATACATCCACCAAAAGACGTCGCCGTAACCGTACCCCACCACCATCTTACGAAGTGTCAACAATTCTAAGTACGAGTCGCCGTGAATCTACCACTAATCAAAGGAATCGATCCGCATCACCCACCCAAAGAGCGACTAGTGAAAGGAATGAGAATAACAGCGAAACAGCCACCACCAATAATAACCAAGATAATAGAAGGAATGAGAATACCACTGAAACGGCCACCACCAATAATAATCAAGATAATAGAAGGAATGAGAATACCAGTGAAACAGTCACCACCGGTAATAATCAAGATAATGGAAACAATGTAAATAATGTTAATGATGTGAGTCAGCCACCTTCTTATATGGAATCTATAAATGAAGAGAGGAATCCGTGAAGCAGGATGTTAATACATCTGAAAAAGTAATAAAAAAAATATTATATTCCTTCTTGATTAAACGTAATTTCCAGTATATATGTTCACCCTTTTAATTGTATTCATATTG